ATGATGGTAACTTGTAGTTTAAAAACGTGATTGATTTACTGAAATAAATGGAAGGCTGACTCAAGATTTCTTGTCCACCAGTTCCACACAGTTATAAATTAATGTAATGCTAATTTAGCTAAATTAAAATATAACAACCAATGTATGGGAAATATTTGCCTTTTCAATTACCAAAAATGTATTCAGATCTAACAATTTCAAAATCAGCATGATTTGACTCGGAAGTTCAATATGCACTAAGTACTGAAAAACACTTCCCTCGACTTTAGTATTTTCTTGTCCACCAGTTACACATTATTGTAAACCAATCTGTTGGGTTTTTTTTTTAGATTTAGGTTAATACAACTTTAATAAATTATTTGGTGTATTTTTAATCAACAAAACCAAGAATCCGCATTCAAGATGTGTCATTTTATGTGCACCTCCCAACACACAAGATGAACCAATTGCTTTAAAACGATAAGGCTCCTTTTGGTTGACATCGCCAGAGCGGCATTCGTTGAACAATATTTATTATTGTGAGTATAGTGCCAAAGACTTTGTCCTTTTCACATTCACCTAAAAAAAAAAAAAGCAAAAGCAGTTTTACACCACAAGCACCATCCACCCAGAAATCAAACGATCATGCTATCTTGTTCTGATCGACCAAATGCCTCATCGTTCAAATTAGGATTTTAGATAACATTGCTACCATGTTTTAGCAACAATGAACCAAAGCTGACGAAAAATCAACAATGGCTACTTTCGCAAACCTCTGTGGGATATGGACTTGTTGTTGAATAGGAGGGGGGAAAAAAACAATGTTACTCAGATGTCGCTAACCTATTTTCACTCATCTCAAAAACAAACAAAAATCCAGACTTTCAATCTTGAGGTGACATAATGCTGCACGGCTCTTGCACTTACGAAAAGAAGTTTGACGACACATCGTGTGCAAAAGTTAATCGATTCAGATATTTTCAACACCTTAAATTGGTTTATAATACAAATAAATAAATAAAAGGTGATGGGGTGACCGGTCAAAATATCAAATTGACCATGTTTTGACCTAAAAGGTTTCTGCCTGTACACTAAAACTGAGCTAAGCTGCGAGGTTTAAAAGGTCTCTTCTCAAAAGCCTTATCTTTAGAAAACATCTTTGACATGATACTGAGCAGGTGCCCCCCCCCCATCCCCACCCTTCCGAACGCTGCGTCCGTAGGGCAGACAAGAAGGGTAAACAGGGTTCATTTACATACCTGAGTCGGGCGTGAGCGCGTGCGTTTTTTGCAGACGCGTGTTTACCGTCAAGGGATGCTCGGGCATTCCTCCGCGGGCATGAAAAGGTGGACACTGGGAGAGGTGGAGGAAGGGGGGAAGGTCTTGGGGAGGCCTGGAAAAGGCTCTTTGTTTACCTCAGCTCGCTCTGCCCTCAATCAAGGCGGTTTGGAGGAGATAATACAGGAGGGGTTCATTAACAGGAGATGGCAGCCCCTTTAGCTCTTAAAAGGACAGAGTAGAGCTTCAGTTTGCTCAAAATGAACATTCACTGATGTTTGCGGTCATTTGGTCTACATGTGCCGCTTATATGATTGGCCGGTGACCAGTCCAGGGTGTACCTTGCCAAAAGTCAGGAGGGCTGGACTCCAGCTAGTTGACTTGTTATACACATCTTTTGGCATGGAAGATGTATTCTATGTTAATCATAACCTCACATAATCAGTAGAAGAAGGTAGGGCTTGCTCTCCCCGTGATATATATATATATTTTTTTAATGTATCACTTTGCTATGAGACAAAGCAAGATGTCTGTGATTTCAGGGTCATCTCGGTAAGAAGACATAAGCAGAGTCATCGGGTTCTATTCGACTCATGTCCTTGCCAGTTTCACTTCTGCGCCGGTTTTGTCTCTTGCCGGCTGAAAAGAAATTCGCCACCAACAGGTTTGGTTTTTCAATCAAGCTTTTAATGAAAAGATTGTAAAATAACAGTTTATTTTCCTCAATGCTGTACATTAAGACTGCAAGGTTATGAATGCTGAGGTCAGCTGTAGTACACTTTCTTTATGACACTTAAGAGTTTTTTTTTTTTTTTTTTTTTTGCGAGCCCCTTGGCAATGCACGGCGGCGGCTCGGACCTGAATACGAGAGCTCTCTGACGAGTGAGTGGACATGAAGAGAGAGCCCAGCCTGGGTGCTGCCAACAAAGCTGCGCAAGGGTCACAGGAAATCACCTTCAATACTGATGTGTGCGTGTGAGCTTAATATCGGGAAGTCCAGACCATCTGCTAGCACGAGTAGAAAACACAAGTTGTGCGCACCTTTACATGGACCGTCTGTTTTACACGCGGGAGAGCTTTTGATGATTAATTATTCATCAGGAAAGGCCATAGGCGTACGATACAGAGCTTCTCGGCCCGCAGATTCCGATACATTATTGAGAACTTTATCTCAAAGAAAACAAACCGAAGCGGGAGTTCAAGACGACTTCAATGGAGAGCTTCGCAAATCGTTTTCAGCGGCTCGTCGTGCATTTCTGGCAACGGTCACAAACTGATGTCGTTATCCAAATAAACCTTGGTGCTGTGACTCACTACGTTTGATTTACAGATGGACGGAAAAAAAATAACATGAGGTGTAATGGAGTACGAGAGCACATTTCTGTAAACGCTGAAAGAGGTATTTTGGTGTCTCGTGTCACTATGGGTACAGTCAATACTGAAATGTAAAACGCACCTGTGCGCTAGCAGACAATATGGCAGAGTCAAAGTTGAAAAGCGGTGGTTCAGGCGTAGAAGAGATAAAGCGAGGGACAATAAAGCTTAAAGACGAGGTTCAATGGCATCAGGGGCCCTTTTCAATTCTCTTAAGACTGGCTTTGGTTTCGTCTTCCAAGGTAAAATGCTGAAAGACAGCCATGCGATTTAAGCCAACAAAATCGGATAGCTAGCTAGCTAAATATGAGAAGCTAACATCGCACGTCTCAGCTCGCCGTCACCTCAGAACCGAGGGGAAACTGAAAATCACGCCACATTGGATGCATCCGTCGGAATGAGATCCGAACAAACAAATATCTGAGGTTGATAGTTTTTTTTTTTTTAACTTAAGGGGACGAAAAAAAAAAGACACTCTGGCATAATACACCAGGCACAGCAGCATCATTTAAACCGTGCATCCTCAAACACTAAAAAGGTGAATCTGCTCGAGAGTGAGCAGGGCGGCAGTGGGTTTAGGTCACCCCATCCACGTGGTACTGGCGCCACATGCAACCAACTTCAGATGACTAGGTTCTACAAAAACAATAATAGCTGCGGCGAGCCAGGTAGGTACCGTGTCATGGAAAAATGGAGCCAACCTCCAGTTCTAGCTTCTTGACTTTGTATAAGCTGTATTCCTTTTAAAGCTTTTATAACACTGCATAAAGACGGGATCTTTCCACCAAACACGGGTAAGAGATGAGGTCCGACCAGAGTGAGGGAGACTGGTTGAACCGTCGCTTAAGCAGGAACTGATATGAGAGCACCCCGGGCCGACCTTGAGCTTTTGAAAAACATACAAAGTGCACTTAGTAAAGCTATCGCACCCTATGGTTCTGTAAACGGGGGAGTGGGGACAAACAATATTGAAAATGGAACTAACAAGTGAAAGATTCGGATGGATTGAGTGGCTTCAGATGAAAAAAAAATATCCTGACAATGAAGAAGAGGGTGAATGATGTGCATGTTGTTGCTTATGTTTTGGTAGGTTCAATAAAAGGCAGATCCAAGGCAACACCCAGGGAGAGCAAGTTCAAAAATACAGTGGCCTCCAATCGCAACGCACCTCATGAGGCTTTCTGTGACAAGGTTAAGAAAATAATAGTTAAAAATTATCATAAAAAACACCCGCAGAGAATTACATGAAACAAAAACTTGATAGACATTCAGGTGTAAGTGAGAAATTGGATATTGACCATTTTCAAAAAAAAAATACATCCAAGAAAACATCACAGAATGCAGTAAATGGCTGTTTTGTGTCGCATTTTTGATTCTCAGCTTGAAATCCTCAAAATAAAACGAACAAAAAAAAAAGGGGGTCCTGGCTCCACCTCAGTCTCACGCTGAGTAAATTCTTTGCAGAGGTGAGGACAGGACCGCAAATAAATACATTCATCACTGACAATAGACATTTGATAATGGAGAAAAAAAAAACAAAACCACTGTCAATAAGTGTTTGCACCAATTTTATAAAGAGGCTCAGCCAGCCAGACGTTTGTGCTGCTTTGACCCACAGAACAAGGGCTGCTTGAAAAATAATAAGCAAGGAGAGAGAAAAAAAAAAAAAAGCTTAAAAAAAAATAAGCAAGGAGAAAAAAAAAGCAACATTCACAGTTAAGACTAAAAGATCATTCTTGTGTACATGCAGTGGACAAAATCAAAAGCTATCAACAACGTGATGCGATTAAAACCCCCCCCAAAAAATTTTAAAGTGTGTGACCTCACCCCTGGCTCCTCCCAGAACTGAAGAGCGCCAGGAGGCAGTCGTCAAGTGCATGTGGGCAAACATGGATATGCACCACACGCAGCCAAAGAGCCCCACGAAACAATGCCTTTTGATAAACACATCAAGGATGCACTGCCACCCCCAAACGCCCCCCGACAGGCCAGAGGGCATGAGGGGAGGGAGGGAGTTGGGGCACGGGGTCACCCCAAAAGCCAGCTGGCACAGGGTGGGGTTAGTGCACCTCAAACCAAACACACCCCTCCCCCTAATTGAATATGCAGCAGTCCACCCCATGCTTTTGTTTTGGCAGCAACCTCTGTGGAGCAGCAGCAAGAGGAAAGAAAAAAAAAAACCCAAAAAACAACTGACTGGCCGGGCCTCTGACTTGAGGTCTGTAAAAACTGTAAAAGTTTGTAAACAATGAGATAAATACATGTTTTGTGTTTTTTTTCCCCCGCCCCCTTGAGCCACACATGGTTCCATAGTCATTCAAATGTGCTTTGGTTTAAAAAATAGTTGGTGGATTTTGGGTGTGAGCTTTTTTTTCTTCTTCTTCTTCTTTTGTACAACTTTGCAACTATTCACGAACATAGCGTGTCATCAACTAAAATGTAGACTTGTTTGAGCTGCCTCACCTTTTGTCAAGGCTCTTTGCGTGACTTGAAAGCACCCCCCCACCACCCCTCACCCAGTATTTGTTTTTTTTTTATGTATGAAACTAGTGTTTTGCTTTCATCGTTAAAATACAGAGAAATTGATACAATACTATGTCTTACAAATGTAGCTGAGAGCCTGCACTCACCGATGCAGAACTATCCCTGAAGTATTTGTATAGTAGTAGTTCTAGTAGTAGCTCTAGTAGTAATATTAGTAGTAGTATGGTCACAGTTTGGAGTTTTTCTTCGCAATGTCCCACAAGCAAGCATTCAAACGCAGCTACAGTCTTTTTTTTTTTTTTTGGTCCAGCAATGGCTGGAAATCTTGTATGGGAGAGAGAAAAAAAAATATCCTTTGCATGACAGACATCAAGACGCACTCTATCAAGTGCTGACAGGTACAAGAAGGCGATGCACTGTGGGCTCCATCTTACACCAGAGGATGGATGCATGTTTGTAGTTTACAGCAAAGGGTTTGGGGGGGGGGGCAAGGGGTGGGGGGGTGTACCAACCACACAATTACTAGTCAAATGAGTAATTGCTTAACAGCCAACATGACCAAGTAGTAACAAATGCAGGAATCGAGGATGCAGGTTGTAACTGTGGCTGCATCCCTACATAATAAATTCACAGACCATGAGGGCAACAAATAAATCAACCCAAAAAAAACAAACAAAAATTCCAGCAAGACAGTTTAAAAAAAAAAGAAAAAGGAAAAAAGGAATGCCTATACCAAAAACTTGTAGGGGAGGTCCACAGTAAGTGTTAAGAGTGGATACACTGGACAGGCTTTAGTGATGATGACCGCCGATGACAATCGACGACGGCCCGATTTCAAGCATATGCTCGTTTATGAGGTAAAGCATGGCGAGGTTAGAATAACTTAAAACCATTATGTGACACAAGTGAACACAATCAGAGACAACAGCAACGACAACAACAAAAAAAAAAAAACAAATAAAAAAAGGAGGATCTTTGCAGGAGACCAATGAGTGGCTGTCCAGTGCATCTCTGCTTCTCCCTTCTTGTTACAAGTTTTCACAAGTCTGGCTCAAAAAGAAACTAACAAGCAACTTGAACTTCACATTAAATTTCTGATTATATAAGTCGTATTTTTTTTTCTTATTTTGCTTTTTTTTTTTGTTTTTTTGTTTTTGGTCTGAACAGAACACGTCACCAAGTCCGGTTTTTAAAGTTTGGGAATATAAAGTGATAAGGACTTTGGACAATAAAAATGACATGACTTACTTAAAAAACAAAAAAAAGGTGGTAAAGTTCACCGGCCCACCAATCAGCACAAGCTTTTCCGTTCCAAACCACCACAACCTTTCTCCGCTTCAGAGTCATTGGCCAAAACGCTAAAGAGTGAATTTCTTTATATGGACAATATAATTAATAAATTTGTATTATACAGGAGCAAAAGTAAGGGAAATCAAAAGTGAAATAATTTAGTATGCTATATATCTTAAGTATATCTTTTTTTTTTTTTTTTTTAAAGCTTTGGTTTGAACTTGTCTAGCAATGTTTGTTAGTTAGCTCTGTCCTCCACATTCACAAGATCTTTGGAACACAACTACACTTAGACCAACTAACCATCATCATTTGCCTTCACAAAGACGCTACAGTACATTATTTTGAGGCGGCACCATCCTGAGCGGGGCGCCCGGAAAGCTATTTTATATTTTGGAATAGACAACTGCTAACGAGAATATGAAGAAGAAAAAAAAAAAAAATCTATAGGCATTAAAAACCTGTGTTGAGAGATGGGCAGGTTAAAGCATCAGGTGAAGATAATCTACACACTTTTTACAATTAATTACATTGGAACTTTGAACTAATCAACATATAGAGTTCGTTAAGAGTAATCAGAGGTAGCGAGGTCACAAGCCCATATAAATAGACTTCTGTTTTGTTTTTTTTTCTCAAGGGGAGGAAAGCGATACAGACACAAAATAAAACGTACCCACTGAACATATTGTTCCGTCTAAAACACCCTCTTTATGAGCCCCCTTTAAAAACAAATCCCTCCCCTCCACAAGAAATACCCAAGACCTTCCAGTTTAAACATTCACTGAAACATTATTAGTTCTTTAAGTAAAACACGTACCTCAAGGGGGGTGGTCCTTTTCCCCCCCCAAACGGGTTTGGTTGCCGGGTGCACTAACAGGCAAGATGGGGAAAAGAGTGAACATCCTTTACTGTCAACAGCCATGAAGAGAAAACTCTTGAAACTTAAATCTTGACCCCCCAACATGATCCCACCTGGATCCTTCTATCAGTTAAAGCATGGAGATGGTCCCAGTCACCCCCTCATCGTACATCGAGAGTTCCCCCCCCATCGCTTAAAAGGAAAATAAAAAAGGCTATAAAGCTGTCAGAGTTCAAAACACTCTTTTTTTTTTTTTTTTTTGCGATATTATTGCCAGTACTGGTTTCATTGGGTTCTTTGAATCTATTTGGTCAGAATAGCGTTGGAGAGGAGAGGGGGGGACTCGAGTCATCGTTCTGGTGGACAACCAGCAAAAAGCTTTCAAAAGTTAGGAGGAAAGGAAGCCTTTTGGGGGGGTGACAAGGGCTGGACATTACATTGGTACCCACATTCACATTTATCGGCCTTGAAAGAGCGCAAGTCACAAAGCTATGACGCCACGGCTTTGTGACTTTCAGCTGAGAGAAAGACAAAGAGAAAGAGAGAAAGAGAGAGAGAGAAGAGTAAACTGTTCCTCTAGAACTCCTGAGAGGTGAGCATATATGTCACTTTAAAACCGATGGTGACGCAATCCCCCAAAGCGACACCGTCACCACCATCGCCCAGTATGGCAACAACGCTCACTCAGCCAGGGCGCCGTCGTAAACCGAGCGGAATAGAACTGTGTCGAACGTGTTCATGTGCGTTTCTTTGTCGAGCGAGAGTTTAGTGGGGGTGTTTTTTTGTTTGTTTTTCTATTCCCAGAGTTCTTTGGCTTGATGCGTTTTCTAGGAGGGCGAGGTGTGCATTCTCAGGTGACTGATGAGGTTGCGCTGTTGAGTGAACTTGCCGCCGCACAGCTGGCATTCGTACGGCTTCTCCCCGGAGTGCACGCGCATGTGCTCCGTCAGCCGGTACTGGCGGGTGAAGCGCATGCCGCACTCCTCGCAGGCGAAGGGCTTGAGGCCCAGGTGGCTGCGCATGTGGCGCGTCATGGTGCCCCGCTGGGTGAACATTTTGCCGCAGATGTTGCAAGGGAAGGGGCGGGTGAGCCAGTGGCTCTTCTCGTGTTGTCGCAACGTCGCCGGGTCCTTGTAGCTCTTATTGCAAACAGTGCACTTGAAAGGGCGGGCTTCGGTGGCGAAGTTGGAGGGCCCGACGGGGGTGGAAAGGTCCTCGGCCTCCTCTTCGTCTTCCTCTTTGACGTAGGTCCCAACTTCCTCTTTGATGTACAGCTCGTCCTCGGTGTGCGTCTCCACGTGAGCGTTGAGTTGCTCCGAGCTCGGGAAGCCTTTCCCGCAGGGGATGCACACGTAGAGGTTGTCCCCGAACGCCGGCTCGAAACCTTCCTGGCGGTACACGTAGTTGGCGTTCTGGTGCGCCCCGCCCGTCCCTCCTCTGCCCCCCGCGCTCTCGCCGTCGCTCTGGCCGCTCTCGTCGCTGTGGTCCTGGCCGTTTTCTCCTCCCTCGTCCTCGTCTTTGCACTGGTGGGTTTGGTCGGAGTTGAAGCCGCCGGCGCTGCCCCCGCCGGGTCGGCCGTCCTTTGGCGCCACTATCACCCCGTTCACGAGAGGCCTGTCGTGATCTTCCGACTTCAGCCCCGATGCCTCCTTCTTGGGCCATTCGTTCTTGCGCCCGCCCTGACGATATTTCTTCTGGGGCGGGGGCCCGTCATGGTGGGCGTTCTCGGCTTTCGATGTGCAGTTCAGCTCGGCGGGCTCCGAGCTGCAAACGTCGGCGCTGGGGAGGGTGGTCGAAGAGTCATCCAGTGAGGCACTGTTGGTTGTGGATACTGAGGCAGATTGAGGGGATTCTTGGGAGTTGCTGTGGGGGCTCAGGGCGTCCGTGACCGCGCCTGCCGAGGGGGGGCTCTTTTTGGTCAGGTCTAGCCCGAGATCGGGCTCGCCCGCGCTTCCTCCGCTGCTGAGGTTACCGTTGCTGCTTCCGTTCCCGCCGCTGCCGTTCCTCCCGGAGCTGCCGATGTACGTTTCGTCGTCGGAGAGCTTGTCCCGAAGGCCTTCGTCCGGCTGCGGCTGGTCGGCGTCTGAAGGGGCGGGATGATAGTGGTTGTTGGGCCCAGCGGGCGTGGAAGAGGAAAGGCGCTGGTTGTTGAGGCGTAAGCGGCTCAGGGGCCCGGGAGTGGAAGGTTTACCGGGCAGGGGTTTCCCGCCACTGCGCTTGAGCTTCTTTCTGCACAGGGCAGCGAGGTCGTGGAGCTGGAGGTAGCTGGCTGCGGTTAAGAGGGCACTGAAATTCTGCTCGCTGCCCTGGTCCGATGAGGAGAGCAGCTTCCCGGTATAGATGAAGTCCAACACTTGCCTGAACACGGAGGGGTTGACCATCTCCGTGTCAAGATTAATGAGGTTATCGTGGAGGACCAAAGACTTGAAATAGATGCTGCTCGCCGCCAGGATGTTCTTGTGGGCACGGAAGAGGGCATTCTCCACCACGATGATGACGTCACACAGGAAGCCCTTGGCTCTCTGTTGGTTGAGTTGCAGCAGCAGTTGTTTGGCATGATTTGGCAGTTCCATTTCCACCTTCCTTCTTTCCTTGCGTCTCGCTCGCTCTCTTCCTACACCAACGCCACCTGAACCTGGAAAGAACAAAAACAAAAGAAAAACGGCGGGGAGGTTGGGGGGT